TGGCCTCCAACCGTGGCAAACCTCCCAAGAGGCCCAGCAAGGCCTGGAGGCAATGGAGGCTCCACACCTCCAACCTAAGAGCGATGGCCTCCAACCATGGCAAACCTCCCAAGAGGCCCAGCAAGGCCTGGGGGCAATGGAGGCTCCACACCTCCAACCTAAGACCGATGGCCTCCAACCGTGGCAAACCTCCCAAGAGGCCCAGCAAAGCCTGGAGGCAATGGAGGCTCCACACCTCCAACTTAAGAGCGATGGCCTCCAACCATGGCAAACCTCCCAAGAGGCCCAGCAAGGCCTGGAGGCAATGGAGACTCCACACCTCCAACCTAAGAGCGAGTCCAGTGTGGTGCGCACAGAGATGCAGCTGGCCGAATCTCCCAAAGAAGCAAAAGATCTCACAGATCTCAGCGATTTGACCTTGACACGTGCTGCAATTCGATTACAGGCATTGTACAGGGGGAAGAGGGCCCGAGATGCAAGAGCCAAGGAGCCTTTTCAGCTAAACACGTTGACTCAGCTCCTTTAAAGTGTGGATTTTGCGGGGAAGGGAGTTGGACGAGTAGGACTGAGTAGGATGTAGGAACAGTATATCAAGTCTATTCACTGTAGGTCTCGTTGTTTTCTTCCCCCTGTGAAGGAATCGTCCAATGCGGTGGTATACGCCAAAGTGGAGGTGCCAGAACTCAACAACACCGGGAACATGGTCAGCCACGAACACGCCGTAGAGCAGACTGCCAAGCAGTTTCCTCCGGCCGGTGAGCATGAAAAATCCTCAGCCAGCCCCACACTGGCAGCCGCTGTCAAGATACAAGCTTTTCACCGTGGCAGGTTGGCGAGGAAAGGAATCCAAAAAATCCCGAAGTCCTTTGACTCTCAGGGAGACACACCGAACTTGGCAAGTTCCCAATCTGAAGACGCTGTTGTTCGAATGCAGGCACTCTACCGAGGCTGGCAGGTTCGAAAGGGACATCAAGGACACTCTTCAGCTTTATCGATTGGGCAGGTTGGAATGCTGCGCATCAAGGCTGTGAGGACTCACAAGGCATCCAAATTTCAAGTGAGGGGTTCGTTTCTCGAAGACAATGCCATGCTCCTACCATCAAACCACGAAGCCACATCCCAAGCAGCAGTCAGACTCCAGGCCGCTTTTCGTGGGAATCGCGTCAGACAGCGACTCAAAGAAGAACGATGGGCGGCGAGGAAAATCCAAAAAAGCTGGTCTGGTTGGACAAAATTGAAGAAAGCCCGCATGAAGATAGCTTCAGTTGCTGTGCTGAGAGTTCAAGTGCACAACTTTCACCAAGCTGACACAGCCACCAAAGAGCACATCCAAGTTGACAAGAGTTTCTTGGATACCGAAGAAGTTCGTCAAGGTTTATCAGACTACGAGGCTGCGACAAAGATTCAGGCGTGCTTTAGGGGCAAGAAGGGACGAGCTATTGCTGCCAGGGAGGAGACCCTCCGACATCAGACGTCCGCCAATATGTCGATCATGCCCACAATGCCAGGTCTTGCTTCTTCAGTGTCTTTGGGGCCTAGTGCCATGGATGCTGTTCGGAGGTCTCTTCTAGCTGGCTCTGCTGTGGTCGATGAAGGCATTGCCAAGATCTATCGCCGAGCCAGTGACACCTTCGAAGAAGCGCTTGCTGCCAGTGATCGGGCTGCCCAAAGAGCGTCCGTAGTGATTGGTGAGTCGTTGCTCCAAATGGTGATCGATACGTCGTCACCCGTTTCACCACGCGAAAAGCACGCCGCAGGTCACGCAGAGTCGCATGCAGACACCAGTGGCGACAAGGAGTTGAACCGTCAGAAGGAGGCCATTGCTGATATTGTCCAGTCCATTGACGCAACCAGCGCAGCTTGCTCAGCTTTCGACCTTTTTTGGTACTAAGTTACTTGGGACCCGCCCTTTAGCGATGGGGCCGCGAAGCGGCCGCTAAGCTTCTGTCTCCAAACATTTTGGTGAAAGACCATGGCATTCTTGGTTGATCCCCCAGATACCCTTCTTTGTCAAAGCGCTTTTTGTGTGGTTATGGAATGTTATGGAGCTAGGCGTGCTTGTGGAGTAGCTATTTCATGCTATTTGTTGCCTGGATTTGATCGCTTTTTTGCTCTCCCTTTCATGTTTGCTTTTCTTTCTATTGGACTTCCCATCAAGGAAGCACGTCATGCATCATGTATCCGAATTGTTCTCACAGGCATTTTGTGAATACACACATGCATAGGCTGTATAAATGGCTGCATATGGTACAGAAATGAACGTGGAACTGCTTGCTCTATCTCCGAACCATGATTCAACACCAATCCCTTTTGCTGTGCTGTCTCACCCTAAAGTTTCGTAGAAGGGGCCGTGGTTGTTAATTTACTTTCAGAGATGGCAATAGAATGAAAGGACGATGGATTCGGGCAGTTCTTAGGGCTGAATTTGGACCGGGTGCGCGGAAGACCCCGCAGTTGTCCAAGCTGAGGCAAAGCTGGAGGCTTGGCTTCAAAGGCGGGCACGGCAACAACCGGTGGCCACAAACAACGAGACGCGAGGCGCCTTGCTAGAAGACCAGGGGGCTCCTCCCAGATCAGAAGGGAGAAAGGTATAGCATGTACTCCAACCTAAGAGCTATGACCTCCAACCTAAGAGGGATGGCCTCGTCCCCCTAGTAGCGATGGCCTCCAACCTAAGAGGGATGGCCTCCTCCCCCTAGTAGCGATGGCCTCCAACCTAAGAGCGATGGCCTCCACCCTTGCAGCGATGGCCTCCACGCTAGTAGCGATGGCCTCCACCCTAGTAGCGATGGCCTCCACGCTAGT